TATTTATTTATTTATCTATTTATTTATTTATTTATTTATTTATTTATTTATTTATTTTCTCTTGGTAAATTTCCTCCTATTTGTAAATTCAATTTGAAAATTTAATCAGGCACTGGCGGTAAAACAGGAGCACAGAAAGCTGAACAAACAGACAAAACAGGTGGGAAACTTTTTTTATTGCATTTGTAAGTGGTTTGTCCAATCTGTAGATAAATTTCTTTAAATACTTTTAACCAATTACCAGGTTAATTTTCAACTAGTATTACGACCTGTGTGTAACTAAAGGAGGGGCAGAGAGAGGGGGGTTACCAACCACAGGAGCACGGAAGATAAAATCAGAGGTCACAGATCAAACAAAATAAATGGATTTGCAAGCAAAATCGAATGTCATAATCATTAATTCACGTAGAACAGGAAATAGAGTTGGCTGGTCACGGACCAAGGATTTATCCTATCCCCAACCTCTCTCTTGTACTATGCTGTATGTTGTACTAACCTCTTTATTACAATTCGCTTCATTTTGGGATTTGAGATAGAAAATTCCCCATTCGAAACTAAATCACAATGAGATATTTCCAATTCATCATTTTTGAATTGAAATATTACAGAAAATATTTAGTTTATATATATTTTTTTTAATGTATCAATTTTTATTTCAAATATTACCGGAAAATCTTTGTTGGTGTCTGTTATCTTCATGTTGCATGAAAAACGGCAAATTAATATCATGTTCCGTTTTAACACACGAATTACATTTGGAGCAAGTAGATTACATCTATTCCTTTATTTACCCTTCCACATCATAACTCTTCATTCTCTTCATTTTTTTAATGAAAAGAGTAAAAAAATTTAGGTGTGTTCAAAAATCATTATAACGCTTTTTCACTTCAAGTGTTATTAATCAACATGTAATAAACATGCTTATGACAACTTGGCGGGCATAAGTCGCCGTATAACATATGTGATGTAATAATAAGGAAACTCATCATTTCTTTCCCCAGCCGTGTATGCCAGTGTTGGTGTTATAGGAGGGGTGGTGCTGATAGTGGTGGTGGTGGTGATCAGTGTCTTTGTCATACGGACAAAAGCTTGGACGAGGTAAGTCCTTTGAAATATCGGGTTCTACATGTATACAAAATAAGCGGAAAGTGAGTTAATTCTTGTTATTTTTACCAGTACATGTACGGGCAAGTATTCCTATTCAACCTTAGATATTGACAAAATGGGAATATTGTTTTCAAATATATTCACAATTTAAAATAAACTTATTGATTGCCAAAAAAATGTCCAGTATTGTGAGGATATATGTTTCCTTGCGTTTCTTGGTTTTTTTCTTCGTGTTTGACCTTTTTCATCAAACCGTACAGTTTAACACAAGTTCAACTTCTACTCGAACTACATGTACAACAAAGACCAATTTTCAATGGTGGTAAAACAGTTGAAAATCGCTTGATTATGGCTTGTTTTTAACAATGAATAATTGACAGTTTCTCCTGGTATAGATTACGTCACACGTTTTACTCCGCGGAGACCATAAGCTATGACAACGCTGCTTATACAGAACTGGGGCCAAACACCCAGAGTAGCGCGGATCTGTACAACCCCCTGTACGCATCCATTGCGAAGGACCGTGCTACCATCCCCATCAAACCATACAGCGTAGGAGAATCTATGTCGTAATAGAGACGGCTATAATTCGTGACGTCAGCAGAACCACAGAAACCAGTGACGTATTGGAACACACGAATCACTGACGTCATGATCGACACGTGACTTTTTTGTTTCAGAATCATAAATTTGTATTGTTATTGCAAGTTATTGAAACATTACAAATTCACCATACGCTAGTAAGCACATTTAACTCGACTGTATGATGCTCTGTGATACAATTTACTTTCGATATATCATATTTTGTTGAATTCTAACTGGCGTAATATTTTCAATTGCGTAAATGTGAAATTATATACCTACATGTTTTTTTATGAAAAGAATAACAAATCGATGGCCTAAATTGCCATTTTTGTAAAAATGCTGTAAAATATTATCGAAGGTACAAAAAAGTTGTTCCTCTGAAAACAAGACTGAACTCGTAGTAAAATGCTCATATGGCCACGGCGGTTATTATATTAGTGTAAGTTCTCCTCTCACACTTGTAGTTATACTAGTACTTCCATTTGCATTAGGATTTAGTAAAACTGAAAATATTAATACAACTATTTTGTGAATAGATTAATATGATGGCCACATGCAATATCATATCCACAACCACTATGGGCCCGTACATATACATATACTGGGGGTACATATACAGAGGGACATTCAATACTAAGCTGAAGAACCCACACATACGCAGTTAACTATGGTATATAACGATGGTTTTTATATTATTGACCCGTGTGCGGACAGCTTACCAGCTATTTATTACTCTTGTTAACAACTTCCACTTCCAGGCAGGGCGTCAAATATGTGACAACTTGTTTTATGTTCCTCTTACTCTTGACCTCATGAAGTATATGGGCGCTTGAGAGGTTTACTTTAAAGACTGGGACTTATTAAAGACCAACGTATCTTATCAACTATCTTAAAACGGGCTATACCTTTTAGATTGTTTGTTGAAAATTTACAGCATAAGATCCTTAATATGAACGCATAGGTGAACGCTCAATTAATACTACGTGTATGTGACATTGTTGGTGTAGAAACATGGCTCAAGTGGTGGTGCTTGGACTCCAATAAAATTTTCTGCTGTTTTATGTTTGTGTTATTTTCATTTTCGGTGCATTGTTCCCAAAAGAGTTATTACCCCAATAAAATATTTCTTTTTGATATCATTGTTTTAATGTTTTACATGTATCAAGTAAACAGGGGGCAATTGCAAAATCAGGAAACAAAGGAGCGAAACTAAACATTCAAACACATCAGCGTGCTTGCTAAAAAGATTATGAGGATTTAATTTGGGACAACTCCCTCATATCTTCGAAAAATGCTCTGACATTTCTGTGCGTTTTAAATACCGTGTCTGTTGACAACACTTTAAATTATTAGGTCGTCTTCCTTAAGGATGACTGGTTTCCACCCACTTAAACTCCGCAGTACTCATCTCCAACAATTTCATACCCAAAGTCCCGCACACTCTGCAACTTTACGCTGGGCTACATGTACCAGATATGCAAACACTGAGCAATGAACTCTCTGTGTGCGCTGTCTTTTAAGTCCAGTGCGCGCTATGAGTGTTTTCCACACTGCGTCTCCATAGGCAAGGCTATCAACCACGTTAACGGGGACAACGGGCGGAAACACTTGCCCCAGGGGTAACTGAACTCGTGGGCGGCCCCTGGGCTGTGTTCATATAACAAGATATCGGTCCAGCAGGATCGATCTATCTCAGTGGGGATTCTCGCTAAGGCGCAGTTATTGTAAACAGCTTAATTGTCTGACACCCCCCCACACACCTAACTTAAAGTAGCCTACTTCACTCAAGTGAAAGAGCTTCCGAAAGCCAAGTGCGCACGATAGTTAATTACCCCCTTGTTTGTCGTCTCGGACAATTAAGCAGATTACACTGGCTGCTCTTAAGCAAGAAACTCTGCAGAGTTGGATCGATCCAGCTAGTACGACGGGTTTATCTGAACGCTCCCCTAGAGTGCAGTGGGACGTATAATAGCAATACATGTATGGGGTAACTTGACAGTGTGCAACCTTTAACATAGCGAATGAGTTTAACCTAGGTTGTCATGTCGCATTCTTATCAAGAAACACGATTGTTAAAGTATTGTGAACAATGATCAGCGATGTGAAGACGTATAGATGTTTAGTACACAGTTGTACCTTTTGTTACAGCGAAATTTGATGTGTAGGTGGAGATATTGTACGTAAATACGCATTCGAACTCGGCCTGACTCAGCCCTTTAATACCATACCAGTAACTTCAGTTAAACATTGCTGACAATAATGATACCTGAGAGGATACAGTTTCAATGGGGGTGTTAATGACACTGTCGCATTTTGCTCGAGTAGGAGGGTTACAGTGTAGCGCAAAAGTATAGGCTTGTGACTAATGAAAATGTTGGGCGAAGAGTCACTGAGGTACCGGTACAAGGCCAAGACATACTGGGTTCATATTCTCCTTCAATATTATAAATCTGACTTTTTGTCATTTTTTCAGATCGAATTGTCTTCTTTTTGTTGTTATTTGTTTTATATCAAAAGTTTTTTTCTTGTTTTGTTTTAAATGAATTCTGCACCTCGCAAAATCACCTGAAACATACTGTATAATGTATAATTCCCCGTTTATTAATTTGTTGGTGAACACTAGCGTTTAGATTAAAATCCCGCAAGTATGAAAATAAGGGCTATAAAAAACTGGTTTTGTAAAAGTCGTATGCTAAAAGATACTTTAAGCTACGTATGACTTTTGTCATTAAATGTCATACTAAAATGCTATTTAGCAAAACGTTTGACAAAGCCGGTCGCACTTTACAACTACATTAAAAACTGACCTTGAAATTCGCGGGAAAAATTTCTGTACAAATAACGTGAAATACAATAAAATACTCAAAATCATTAAATGTAAACAAATATGAAAGTGACTTTTTATTGTTTTATTTTCGTACTCTTGACATCAAGGGGGCTGGAAATTTAATACAGGTAGTTAAATAATTCAATTAACCATGCACCTGTGATAATTTAAATGTGACCCATTTACCTTAAAAGTAACTTCCACCTTTCGCTCCCCTGCAAATGCCCCAGAGATCATAACACCTTTCCACCTTTGTAATAAAAACATCAGGAAAATGGACGCTACAAAGGTGGGCAATCTGACATACGATACTCTGACAAAGGCCCTTGACGTGGGCGAAAAATTGATAGGGTCTACACATATAACACAAAGAAAAGAAAACGCATGACTCACATACGTAAAGCTCATTAGCATTACAATTTCAATGGGAGGTAAAAGGTTTTGCTTCTGAGGTATTCCCACAGTTAGTTCCCCAGTTTAAGAGAGGACGCAGTAAACAAGGGAATTTCGCGTGCTGTAGTGTCCGAAGCAGGCGTTCTTTCGTGTTTAGAAGAGGAAATTTGTTGGAAAACCTTGTGATCTTTTAATGATGTCGCACAGCCGAGGACCAAACTTTTTGACACTCGCAGGAGGAATATTGTTGTGTTTTCTTCTGCGTGGAACAAAAGTTGAAGGTAGGTGCATCTACTGTTTTTGCTGTGCCTTTGTATTTCAATAATATTTCTGCAGTTATCCACTTTATACGTGTCTATTAACTGTTATTTCGTCTGTGTCCTCTCTCTCTCTCTCTCTCTCTCTCTCTGTGTGTGTGTGTATACTGTGTTATACTGTGCATTCGCATTTGTGTATATGTAGGCCTAAATAACGTACACCGCAACATAAGGTGCATATACATGTACATTGTAAGTGTGTACCATATACATGTAATAGCACGTGTTTGCATTTCGCTGAAAACTAACTCAACACATACTGTACATGAATATCATAATTCAAAATCACATCTGTTACATGTGCGCTATATCAACATATATATCAACTCGTATATATTCCTTCTTTCTTCAGCTACATACGACACATCGCGCTGTCCCTCTCGCATACGCTTCGAACACGACGTCTTCAACTTCGGGGAGCGCTGCTACCAGTTCGTGAACAGCGAGAAGTACTGGTCGGATGCTCAGGCCTGGTGCCAGCAGCGCGGGGGCAGACACGTGGAGATCCACGACCAGGCAACGATGAACTTTATCTCGGAGGTGTTGTCCACGGTGCTGTCATCGTCCTGGAGGAATAACGGCATCTGGATAGGACTGAGGAGGAGTGGGAGTGCATGGGCGTGGTCATCAGGTAACTATTTACGGTTCGAACACATACGTGCACGCGCGCTTACACACACGCGTGCATTCTCTGACCACAGGGTGTGCTAGCAGTCTGTCACAAAATTAATGCATCGCGCATACTTTAATTTTTGTATCATATTTTAGAAGCCCCTGATACCCTAGCTTAATGGTTTATCTCAACAGTACTGTAAGTTGCAGACTATACTGAAATGCGAAATACATGAATCAACATTCCCTAAATGCCTACACAAGAGAGATGCGTATATAAAAGTGGGTGACATTTGTAAAGCATTCATAACAAATACACTACATTTCAAGAAGAAGAAAGGCGTTCCCTGTGACATGGTCTAGCGTATCTAAACGCCTGTCCAGACATCAAGTTGTACTCGTATCCCGCTGGTGTACCTTTACAGCCAATATGTTACACCTGAAGTATTATTATTATCAAAATAATAACTTTGGGTGCCTGCAGTTCGTTTAATGTTGTTGGCAGATGACGTGCTATCGAGAATGCACATTACATGTCTTTACGCTAGAAACCCACCCCTTTTTGTCTGTCTGTCTGTCCGTCTGTCTGTCTGTCCGCACACATGTACATCCATTCTGCTAGCCACGAAGCTAGACAGACAGACAGACAGACAGACAGACAGGCAGACAAGAAGCTATCCAATCAATCACTGGATACTATCTCTCTCTCTCTCTCTCTCTCTTTCTCTCTCTCATATGATATCATTCATTTGTTCTCTTTTCCACGTGTTCAGGTATTTATAGTGTCATCTTATAGCTACATGTGCTGTAAAATAACATATAGTTTATATCCCTATCAGAACATGACGAGGCACAATTTTCAATAGAAATATTATTTCATATTAAGTATAGCATTTACCCATGTATATATTTTGTATCCATGTTCCAGGGCACGCTTTGGTCTACACAAACTGGAACTCTGGGCAGCCGTCAAGTAACCAGAACCATCCGTGCTCCATCCTGAGGAGAGAGCATGGATGGAAATGGGTAGACAGCCACTGTACCCATTTTTTCTACCAGTACAAATTTATATGCATGTACGGTATGTATAGTGTTTTATACATAAAACTTTTTTTAACATGGTGCGGTATACACACTGTACATATTGAGGATCATAGTCACCATAAGTAAAATATTTTTTACATGTACATTGATTGTAACATACGTGCGTATCAATATTTATGTTAAGTTATTTCAAAATTTGTATTATACTCTGATTAGTGTAGTTATAAGACGTGGCCGATGACAAAATGCTATTATTATATTTCAGACATGATTCCGACGACTACCACCTCAACAACAACTACAACCACTACCCCGACAACGACAACAGCTACACCGACAACAACAACTACACCGACAACAACAACAACTACACCGACAACGACAACAACAACTACACCGACAACAACTACAACTACACCGATAACAACTACAACTACACCGACAACAACAACTACACCGACAACAACAACAACTACACCGACAACAACAACAACAACTACACAGACAACAACAACTACACCGACAACAACAATAACCACGCCGACAACAACATCAGTAGCACCTACCACGATAACCGCCACTACCCCAAATACATCCACCACTCCGGCAACAATAAGCAACGAAAACACAACCGTCTCTTCAACCAGAGGCCCTACCCCCACTACTATTACTACAAAGCGTGGTACTTCTTCTACGCCATCTACAACGAAATCTGAAGAAAAGTTCCCAACATCAACAACTGTGAAGTCTGATAAGCCAGGTAAGAGTTGTTGATGTGGGGGTAGGGGTATAATTTTGCGCTTGTTATATACTTGTTATACAGTGAATATACAGGTAGAAATAAAAATAAGTCGGTTATTACAGCGTAAGTGACAAATGAGGAATCTGTGACGTCACAGCTGGCTTATGGGTACGATGTTTTAAACATTTTAAAGTAAAAAGATACAATGAAATGTGATGAAGATGAAAAGATGCTTCTAAGGTTTCACTAAAATACCGAAAGAAGAAGATATCATAACTCAGAATGACTTTTGTTCACTTCTTTCAGGGGGCGCAAATGCAGCAGCCGTTCAGCAACAGGAGCAGAATAACGAAGGTATGTTTGGTGGGACAAATACAGGAGAACGTAGTGATCAGTGCGATAACTAATACATTAATTTCAAGATATTTATTAATGGTCTTATTTATGTCAAAATTATGGAAAAACGATCCAACTGGTCAACGGGCCAGGGTCAATAAGTTTCTTTGGACCTTCATATTGATGATAGAAATACATGTGCATGATATTTTGTTTACTGATGTATGTTTACTGGTACATGCATAGGCACTTAAATTAAACACAGCATTTACAATATATGCACCACAAAACAAATTTTTAAAAACTGTAGTCGAAAACTCTAAAAAGTAACAGCCGTTCCTATGGAGGAGAGGCTAACAAAATTTTGAAATAGAACAAAAAACAGACAGAGCATTATTATTATTATTATTATTATTATTATTTCAGGTTTGACAATTGGGCTGACGGCAACCGCCGCTGTTCTGGTTATACTGGTTGTACTGGTCTTAGTCTTCGTGCTCTTCAGACGCAGATTAAACTCGTAAGTTAGATCAGAGATAGAATTCGTGGGAAGAAATAGTCAAATAAAGTTCTAGTTTATAATTTGATTAACCCAAAGAAGACGAGAAATAATTAATTTGAGTTTGACAAGTTTTAAGATAGTGTGGCACAATTTCTAGTTTACATATCGGAACATTCAATGCTGAACTCACCCAGACAAAATATTTCAATTCTGAAAAGTTTTTTAAAATTAAAAACAACATGCAACTTGTCATTGATTTAGGCCTATATACATGTATTTAATGTTATGTCAAGCCATTAATTTATTTTCAGCACAGTCTGACACATTTATCTCCATCTCTATACGACTTAAGTGATAAACTTCAACTTCAACTGAACAGCATTTATCGAGCATCTCAATTTTCTTTTATTACAGGAAAAAAGCACAAGAGCCAGAGCCTCTATGGACTCATAACGTCACTGACGACGGAGAGGGCATGAACGCGCGGTTCTCCAATCCGATGTACGGGGGTGCCCTACCGACCGACCTGGGGGCCGCGGGTCCCGCACAGGAGAACTTTTACGCCGAATTGGGCGACCCGAACCCATACGACGAAATAAAAAATCCCACATCTTTTGGTGAAAATGCCAAACTTGAATTAAAAGAGGACGATGTGGATGATTTAAAGGTCGGTCTGTCCAATGACGGATACATGACGATGAAGGCACAAGCGAATGCGGATGATGCTAATAATTTGGTGTAAATGTTAACAAAATAGTGATGACATTTGCAACTGGAAATTCTTGAATGTTGTGTTGACTTATCGCCCGAGTCAAATAAAACCATTTCTAGCTTCTTTAGAAGGATCGAAAAAGAAATAGACACAGAACCCCCTGACGTGTACCAACACAACGCGATTTTATGGTCGTTTAGAAATCCAGGCCTATCCTTTTTATGCTAAATTACACAACGGGGTGTAGGAGACACATTCCGCCGTGATATCAAAGAAATAACTGCTTGTAAACTGAGGTAATCGGTGAATTTTTTTGTTGCCGTGACAGTTTTTAGAAAGAACCATTTTCAAAGGTTTAAGGGATTTTTTCACAATATATCTTGCCAAAAGAGTAAAAGATTTAAACTATCAGATTCCATCAGTGAGGGAGGCTCAGCGAATCCAGCTTCTAAACCCTTGGACTGTTCTCGGGCTGTCCATCACTATGACGCGCAATATCGTCTTCACGAGCCGTCACTGAGGGGTATTATTTAGGGGGCGGTGCCGCCATAAGGGATCAACAGGACGTATTGTTAAGTACATCTTATAGCCACTTTTCATGTCACGAATCTCTGTAGACTATGATGTAATAGAGCAGTGCCAGTCAGCCACACCCAGGGTGATTGGGCTCTACCTTGCCACACGAACATTATATCTTCGCTATTGTGATGTGTTGAGCCCAGTGCTTTTTTTTTCTTGTTTGTGAAAAGTGTTTTGAATATCTTGCCATTATGAATCTCCATGGATCCACAGGTCAGTGTACATAGGGTAAGGTGCGTGGAGAAGACGTTTCTAATGTAACATTATCCTCTGTCGCACCACTGTCAGCGGTCCTATGACATATACATGACTCATATTTTTATTTTCTGCGACGTAAAAGGAATGGATGGACCCTTGGGAAACCTCAATATTTTATTATTATTATTATTATTATTATTATTATTATTATTATTACTACAGGTTTGACAATTGGGCTGACGGCAACCGCCGCTGTTCTGGTTATACTGGTTGTACTGGTCTTAGTCTTCGTGCTCTTCAGACGCAGATTAAACTCGTAAGTTAGATCAGAGATAGAATTCGTGGGAAGAAATAGTCAAATAAAGTTCTAGTTTATAATTTGATTAACCCAAAGAAGACGAGAAATAATTAATTTGAGTTTGACAAGTTTTAAGATAGTGTGGCACAATTTCTAGTTTACATATCGGAACATTCAATGCTGAACTCACCCAGACAAAATATTTCAATTCTGAAAAGTTTTTTAAAATTAAAAACAACATGCAACTTGTCATTGATTTAGGCCTATATACATGTATTTAATGTTATGTCAAGCCATTAATTTATTTTCAGCACAGTCTGACACATTTATCTCCATCTCTATACGACTTAAGTGATAAACTTCAACTTCAACTGAACAGCATTTATCGAGCATCTCAATTTTCTTTTATTACAGGAAAAAAGCACAAGAGCCAGAGCCTCTATGGACTCATAACGTCACTGACGACGGAGAGGGCATGAACGCGCGGTTCTCCAATCCGATGTACGGGGGTGCCCTACCGACCGACCTGGGGGCCGCGGGTCCCGCACAGGAGAACTTTTACGCCGAATTGGGCGACCCGAACCCATACGACGAAATAAAAAATCCCACATCTTTTGGTGAAAATGCCAAACTTGAATTAAAAGAGGACGATGTGGATGATTTAAAGGTCGGTCTGTCCAATGACGGATACATGACGATGAAGGCACAAGCGAATGCGGATGATGCTAATAATTTGGTGTAAATGTTAACAAAATAGTGATGACATTTGCAACTGGAAATTCTTGAATGTTGTGTTGACTTATCGCCCGAGTCAAATAAAACCATTTCTAGCTTCTTTAGAAGGATCGAAAAAGAAATAGACACAGAACCCCCTGACGTGTACCAACACAACGCGATTTTATGGTCGTTTAGAAATCCAGGCCTATCCTTTTTATGCTAAATTACACAACGGGGTGTAGGAGACACATTCCGCCGTGATATCAAAGAAATAACTGCTTGTAAACTGAGGTAATCGGTGAATTTTTTTGTTGCCGTGACAGTTTTTAGAAAGAACCATTTTCAAAGGTTTAAGGGATTTTTTCACAATATATCTTGCCAAAAGAGTAAAAGATTTAAACTATCAGATTCCATCAGTGAGGGAGGCTCAGCGAATCCAGCTTCTAAACCCTTGGACTGTTCTCGGGCTGTCCATCACTATGACGCGCAATATCGTCTTCACGAGCCGTCACTGAGGGGTATTATTTAGGGGGCGGTGCCGCCATAAGGGATCAACAGGACGTATTGTTAAGTACATCTTATAGCCACTTTTCATGTCACGAATCTCTGTAGACTATGATGTAATAGAGCAGTGCCAGTCAGCCACACCCAGGGTGATTGGGCTCTACCTTGCCACACGAACATTATATCTTCGCTATTGTGATGTGTTGAGCCCAGTGCTTTTTTTTTCTTGTTTGTGAAAAGTGTTTTGAATATCTTGCCATTATGAATCTCCATGGATCCACAGGTCAGTGTACATAGGGTAAGGTGCGTGGAGAAGACGTTTCTAATGTAACATTATCCTCTGTCGCACCACTGTCAGCGGTCCTATGACATATACATGACTCATATTTTTATTTTCTGCGACGTAAAAGGAATGGATGGACCCTTGGGAAACCTCAATATTTTATTATTATTATTATTATTATTATTATTATTATTATTATTACTATTATTATTATTATTATTATCGGTTTTAGACAAGTAAATTTCACCCATTTTTTCATATATCATTTTGTACATAAAATGCCCACTAAGAAATACATATATGTAGTCAGCTGGTCTGACGTCATGCAACATTATGTAATAACTGAAAATGTATAACTCGAATTAAGAAATGAAGTTTTATTGATTTATGTACCGTTGTCTTGTCTTTTAATGCAAAAGACATTATATTGAATTGAAGAGGGAGTAAGGGTGAAGTGGCATGGACGTATTTTACGTGTCATGAACATGTACAATGGTTGTGGTACAGGCTTTTTAGGCTCAGAAGACCTTTGAAAAGCCCATACACGTGGTGACCTGTATGAAAGGAAGTATCGTACATGATAAACTGAGATCGAATGCCCTTGGTTCGAGGGCCACAAAATTGTGGCAGTTTAAAAATGATTTTACAATCGATTCGTTTGCTAAGATAGAGAAAAATGGTGAGAACGAAACAAATAAATAATAAAGTAAAAATTATAATAGTCCGAAAACAAAAGAATGAAAATGTTTTAAAGTGTGTTTAACTATAATAAAAATTAACACTTGCACTAGAAATTATTATACAGGATAATTAATGGTAGGTTAATTCGATACTACTGTACATCTAACAGGATCAAAATAGTTTTCTCTGTAGTATCATTTAGTTTCTAAATCTCAAGTCACATGTAAGTACACCTACTTTCCAGACATATTTCATCCGTCGGACTCTGAACAGGCGATGACCTTATAGAACATGGATGAGAATTCATTTAAACAAAACATCATAAGGTCGCCACCTCATTCAGACACATAATACAAGTAAGCCACTTTCTTCGTGACCCGATTTTTTGTTCGAAGTTAATAAAATCAGCAGGGATTCTTTTTAGGGACGCGCTCTTGTTCGGGACGTCCTTGTTTAGAAATAAACTATTCTGGAAAATTCACAACCAAATGGGGTCATGCACCTGCGTTTAAAGATCGGATAAACAGGGTGGATTTGTATCATTACCAATACAATTTGCAGCTCATTGTCGTTTCTCAGTTATTTCACAAAAATAAATAAATAAATAAATAAATAAATAAATAAATAAATAAATAAATAAATAAATAAAATTAGGCTGAATTTGTTAAGGCAATATGAAAAATGAAAAAAAAAAACATTAACAGATATCTGTGAAAGGTTTAAAAGAGAGCTATTGTACCAGTACATAGATAAAGCACCCTCAGACATAGGCTCTATTCCCATAGATTTTAGATCCATCTATCCCGGCGGGGAGTCTCACTAGATTACTTTCAGATAATCCGACTTGAATATCCGTCCCGCCTACTACAAGCTGTAAGGGGGTAATTAACTTTCGTGTCCGCCCGGCTGACAGCTATTTAGCGTGAACCCCCAGGGAGTTAGGTCGATCTAAAGTAGGTCGATCTAATCTATGGAAATGGGGTGATAAATAACAGGGTCACGTGTTGTCACGAGGTGTTACGTCATGGCACGGTTTCTTCTCTTCAATCTTGTGAGATGTTACCGCTGAGTTAAATTATGGTGTGATCGTAATTTATGTCCAGAAGCATCATATATTACTCTTTCGTTATGGTGACTCTCACTTTGATATATTTTTATTCTGCTCTAATTCGAGAAAGTAGACAGCGGTTCACTGAAATAGAGTGACTTACGGCCCAAATTTGTGTCGCTTTCCTTTTTTTAAATATAAATAAAATTAAAATTAGTAAAAAATCATAATAAAACGAGAACAGGCGCGGTATTTTATTCAAAGGTGGATTTCCAAATTTTTACCTTGGGTGTAAAATCTCAAAAGATTGTCCATATAGTTTAAACTCGAACTCTACACTAAGATTCAAGAAGAGCAGTGATATCGGGGTCCTCAGGTGTATCTGTGTGACGTCAGACCAGGTAGTTACTCTGCGTAGGTGTACCGAAGCGACGAAGGCTAAATCCCCCTTTGTCACGCAAAGCAGGTCCCCTCGTATGACTCAATATAGAAACAGGGGTCACCGTGTCGAGATCGCATCTTAATAACAATGAGGGTGCCGACGTCACTGGGGTCGTATATACAATGCGTGTATTTTTGTGTTGATGGGGCAAGTGCTCAGCTATAATAGGAGCACAGACTCGAGGCGGAAGGACGTGGAAGGCTAGCTCAGACTGCAAAGGAATCTGAACCCTTAGCACAGTATTTCTCTTCCTAACAAAGTTGGTACACAAGGTCTATATAAGGGTCTAGCTGTGGCCGAGAAGGAACGAGGGAGATTTACAGTTTGAGCACGACTCGGAGAAGTTAGAGACGCCTACACGTTGTGGGGAAGCGTTAATCAACTCTTAGTTGTATCGAAGGGATAAACTCAAGTGTACTTTTGCCACTGTTGCCACACACAATCTCCTGTAAGTTACTTTGGAGAAAGCATATCAAAACATACTGTCAGTACTCTGATTTGTATGGGAGAGGGTCTTTTCGGCCATTGACACTGGATGAACCTCTATAGCAAGAGTCAGAATTGGGGTTTATTGTCAACAACAAGTATTTATACATTGTTTACATCTGGTCAGCCTCAACGTTCTAAACAAACCGTGTATTGACACTGCCCTTGGAGTGTACGATCTTCGCATTCTTTGTGGATAGAATCACTGCAGTGCAGAGAGAGACGGGTCGAAAGCAAGATGAAATCCTGTCAGTTTTTCTCCGTGCGGGTGATTCTTGGTGCATTGATAGGACTGTTGGTTACGTGCCGTGAATCTGTGGCAGGTAGGTGGCGATAATACTCTCTCTCTCTCTCTCTTGTACCCAAACACAGACACGTAGATCCCAACTGAGCGCCAACACGATGCAAGTGATGAGTGCCATTGGTTATTAGTAGGCAGGGATTTATATGTCAAATATACAATAAATATCCTGATCCTCTTTCAACAAATAATGTATTACCGTATGCGCGATATATATTTTCATATATTTCTATTTGTATGGGTTGATATGTCCCGATCAATATGTGGGTGTGTATTGAACCCCTTTCTTACCTGTTAAGAACAAATCAATCAATATGACAATCCATTCATATCGTTTACAGTCGTTATATAATGTGTAACTATAGACTACAATACTGACAAGAAACGCCCTCTCCACTTAAAT